TTTAACCCATTTGATCCTACCGTCCTTTATAAGGGCCGCTGAATGTAGAGCGCGATAAAATCAAGATCAGCGTTGAAATTCTAGATGTCGCTATTGGTATAGTTTCAATGATTATTAGTGCAACCGCAAACAGGATAAAAGTGATTTGTTTACGTTCTTGCGGCACGTGTCGAATATTTTTGGTACTCTTGCAAAGTGCGAATCGACAATGGATAATTGGAGGTATGTAAATATTGTTTTTTCAATAAGTAATAGTGTTTTTGTAACTTACATCACGAAGCTAAATGTACAAATAGTTATTGAGTATAAAATACTAGTCCGTTTTTATTTATTTTCATGGGCACGTGGTCATAAAAAAGAGGTGTTCTTTTAAAAGGACAGTAGGAAAATCCACTACTGTTCGGTGTAAATGCTAATAAGTATATATTCTTGTTTCTAGTTATTGGAAAAAGCCGTTAACCCTAGCCGAATTAGGCGAAGAATTAGAAAACATCGGTGAATCGGAGATTCCAAATGATATTATAATTTTTCCTCCGGAGAACGCCAATGATCCCGTTACTGATGAGGATTCAGGTGATGAAGATCAGGTTGTAATGGAAAATCTACCTGGATCTCAATTGAGGGTAGAGGTAGAAATCAAAATCCCTGAGGAAAAAGTAGGGACGTCTGTAATATCCGAAGATTCGGATTCTGAGGACGATAGGCCCTTGTCACACTTCGTTTTGCGCAAGCCTAAAATAATGAAAAAGTTCTCGTACAAGACTCAAGATTTGCAGCCCGATTTTCCACCTTGGATTCCAGTTCAGACAGTACGAAACCAGCAATCTCCAGCCACCATTTTCAAGATGTTTTTTGACGATGACGTCATTGATTTGATTCTTCATTATAGCAATAATTACGCACACCAAAAAAATCTACATGATGATATATCAAAGAACGAAATGTATTGTTATATTGGTATATTGCTTCTCAGTGGATATTGCATTGTTTCTCGAAGAAATATGTACTGGCAAAATTTAGAGGATACTAACAATAAAATGGTGTGTGCTGCCATGTCTCGTGACCGATTTCATTATATAATGCAAAATATTCACTGTAATGATAATGGTCGATTAGACAAAGATGATAGGTACTCAAAAATGAGACCACTTTTTGACATTTTGAATAAAAAGTTCTTCGAACATGCGCCTGCAGAGGAAAACCACAGTGTGGATGAAGCCATGGTGCCATACTTTGGTCGCCATGGCTGCAAGCAGTTCATTCGTGGAAAACCCATTCGTTGGGGCTACAAGCTATGGGTGGGAGCTACAAGACTTGGTTACATCAATTATTTTGACCCTTACCAAGGCTCATCCTCAAAGTTACCGGAGCAGTATAAACATATGGGATTAGGTTCCGCCGTGATCCTGAAATATGCTGACGTTTTACAGAAGATGCCATATCACTCATTTCATCTATTTTTTGATAATTATTTCACCTCTCTGTCCCTTCTAAAAGAACTTACACTGCGAAAAATCAAAGGTACTGGAACAATTAGAGAGAATCGGATCCCACAGTGTCCTCTAAAATCATCACATGAACTAAAGAAGGTCGAAAGAGGTGCCTTTGATTATTCCTTAGCTGACGATAACATGGTGATCTGTAAATGGAACGACAATAGCGTCGTAACTTTGGCTTCAAATGCGTCATCAGTATTCCCACTAAATAGGGTCAAAAGATTTTCACAATCTCAGAAAAAACATATTCAAGTCGACCAACCGTTTTTGATAAAATTATATAACGAAAATATGGGCGGCGTAGATAGAAGTGACCAGAATATTAGTCAGTATAGAACAACGATACGTGGAAAAAAATGGTATTTTCCATTACTAACCCACTGCATCGATATGGCAGTCCAAAATTCTTGGCAATTACAAAAGTGCAATGGGGGGAAGATGGATCAGCTCGCTTTTAGACGATCAATTGCCATTGAGTTACTGGAAACGTATAAAAGGACTACAAAGAGGGGACCATCGAAGGCACCAAAAACACAGCACGAATATTCTCGTTTTGATGGACTCAA